TGTCAATTGATGCCATTCAAGACCATAGTCTTTTTGATCTTCCTCATTAAATGTGAGGCCATCAATTTATTACCTTGATTGTGTGACAAACTTCTTCCATTGCAGGCAGGCTTTCTGTGGATATCTGTGTGTTAATAAGACTTCTATACATTTAATACATCTTCTGTACAGTAGAAAACATGAAAAAGCACCACTAAAGGGCAATGACTTTTGTTCCCTATATTGACCTAGGCTGAATTTGAGCCAGTGATTTAGAAATAATATGCTCTGTATCCCATTACTAATCTCTTCAGCCACAAGTCCAACCCTTCAGAGATTTTTTTTTTCACAAAGAGAATGCTAACATATTTAAAAGAACTCACATTTTACTCTCAAGAAGAAAATCAGAGCATATGGAAAAACATGGGTATTTGGCTAACCTACCACTCATTACCCAGGAGGGAGAGAATATAAATGCGAGCTTGCATTAGATTGTTCAGTGTGTGTATTCAATCTTAAGAAATCTGTTTCAAAGAAAAGAAAGGCATAAACCTCATTAGAAAAGAAACAATAGGGTGGAAAAAAAAGCGAGCCATGTCAGTTCAAACGCAAGCCCAGATGCTAAAGTTAGTTACACTTTTTAGTTTAAGGCAATGCAAATCCATTCTCCATTACAGGGGAAGTGGAAAAAGGCATTAAGCCCTTGAAATGACAGGAGTCATGTTCTGTGCTCAGTCAAATAGGAAAAGGTTTAATGTATGATTTTCTTCTTTTTAGTCCATTGTACATTGTATCAAGGCACTGAAGAACAACTATGCAACTACATAAATAGGAGGAGATAAGCTAGAGTAGCACAATTGTTTGTAAGCTAAAATTGTTTCTTATTCTTCCTACCCCTCCTTCCTCTTTACACAGAAACAAGCATGCACAAAACATTAAGAAAATAAATAAGAATTTATATGAAGGTTATCCACAAGAGCAGATTCTAGATACAATTTGAATTCCTGAATATTAATTTGATCTTCTGCCAAGCACTGTAGAGGTCCTAAGAATCTGCGTTTATATTCTGAAGGAAAAGTAGAAAAGGAGTCCTAATTTTAAATTGTTTTCATTACATAAACATTTGTGAGCACACTTATATTCCTTGCTTTTTGGAAAATCACGATTAAACTTTAAAGTGTATGTTTTAACCTAAAGTAAAACCAGGGATATTCCCCTACTTATGTCACAACATGTTAGCCAGAGGCAGCAGACAATTGCTACTATTTTCCATTAATCAGGCTTGGGAAATGAAGACAGAGCCTCTTCAGTTTGCTTACTACAACCAAATTTCACTCATCCCCCTGTTATGGATCAGACTGCTTCTTTCAGCATGGTTGCCTCAGAGGTGAATTTTCCCTATTGTAACACTCTATTTGGCAGAAGAGCATTTTCATTTCATGTTAGTTTCCTGTGTAGGTAACCAGCAGAGGAATAGAATAAGAAATGACACATTTTGTGTGAATATTGTGAATGCATGGCAACACTATGCCTAAGGTATCCCCCAAAGAAAGTCAAGGAGGAGTATGTGCCTTCGGTCATAACTTTGTCTAATCCACAAAGTAGCCTGAGATGTGTGACAAGTATTGCAGCAGATACCCTAGGAGATCAGAAAGTTTGCTTTCACTGCCTCCTGACCATTGATATCCACCACTGAGCTCCATGCCTCTTATTCTAATGTATATGCTTTGATACCATGAGTACGTATAATCTGCTTAAAGAAGGATCATAAACTGTATGGTGAGCTCATGGAAAGTCTGCCACAACACCACAGCAAGCAAGAAGTTTGTTGAACCATAGGTTTTAAAAGCCCACATGAAATTGTTTCCTCATAGATATCAGTTATATTTACCATTATCTTGGATACCTGGTATATGTGCAGCATGTATTTTTTTAGAGAGAGTTGAAATGTCACACAGCTTTTGTGGATTTTCCTCACCGTTTTTTATTGCTTGCATACAATTTTAGTTGTGTCTCTCTTTTAAAGTAATGTTCTTTATGTTGAACTTTTTAACCATAAAAAGAACTTTCTGCGATTCTTTGCAAGCCTTTTTAATTCTTGAATGCAATTGTGAAAGTAGCACTTTTCACTAAAATATGTCGACATTTTACCCAGCTGTTAGCCAGTAAGTCATAAAAAAGATTCCTGTGAGGTAGGCAGCGCATGTTATCTTTTATATATGCAGACATAGCACTGTTGTACCACCTGAAATTCCATCAGGCTCCAAGCTCTGCAGAAAGTGACAAATGCTAGACAGGTTTACTATTTATAATGGATGAGCTATGCAAGCAAGCTCTGGGAGTTGGATTGGATTTGATTGCAAACAATAATATGATACAATCCCTGCTGTGGATAGTACACACATTGTGAGAGAAGGTACAATCTGGCAGCATGAACACCAGACTACAGGCATGATCCACAGCCCTAAATCCACCTTCATGGTGCACCTACTGTGTGGCTTTCAGAACACCTTTGCTGATCTAACAGTCCTTCCAATTCCTTATCTGTTTGTTTAGCAACAGCATGTTAAACAATCATACCTCTCTAAGCCACTTCAATGCAATTTACAGATCAGCATGGTGATGGGCTTCAGAGAGGCTTTTTAAAGGAATGACATGAAAACACAAGAAGTTATTTGAATAATTTTGTGCAGTTTCTGGCAGTAAACCCAGAAACTTTTTAATGAAGTAATTAATCAGATTATCCTTCAGGGATATATCTTCTACCCCAGCAAGAATGTTTTCATTTCCAGTACAAAATTGAATGGTAGAATATTGATCTTCCTGTTTTCACCAATATTCAAGTGTTGAGCAAAGCTTTTCCAGCCCTAGATGAGAAGGTTTTTTTCTCCTCCTGTCCAGTTGTGCACACATAACATAAAACAGTCCCTCATTCCTCTTCATGAGCCATGTGGATTAGAAGTTATGCTTCTGTGGGATGTCATTTAATTAATTTCTCTGTTGGAGTCTGTGGATTCAGTAAGAGTCAGTTTGAAATCTTCGTTCTGGTTGTCACTGATTCATGTAGTCTGCTAAGGTATCACAGGTGAAGAAATAGCCTGCACAATAGAAAGAGTTGGTCTAGATTTATTTTTTCCTTGTGGGAATGGTAAGGGTCTTTCTGCCTCTACAGATAGAATTGGTGAATGGTTTTCCTTGCCATCTGAGATGATTCTTGATATGAATCATTAATTAATCTGTGCAGTTGCTTTCTTGTATACACACCTTCTTGGTTCTCACATGCCTTGGATTATATTTCCACTCACTACCCTGTTGGCTTTAGGGCATTTAGTTACAAATTCTCAATGGGAAATTGATGGGAGTGTTCCCTTACTTCTCCAGGGTGATTTCTTTTGCATGAGATACCATGCATGTTTTTAAGCTGATGGTCACTTTGCTTTGTCTTGAAACACAAAACTTCTATGAGTAATTTTCTTGATAGAAATATATTGGTGTTATCAGTCCTCCTTTGAATTATTAGGATTCTTTGCTGAAGTCACATACACATGGCTATAATTCTTGTTAAAGCATATTTCTAGTTTGATTCCTGCATCTGTTGAAAGAAAATTTAGACAAGCTATGAGCATGGGAATGGAGAGCCAACAGCTCTTCCTACCAAGTCTTATACTTTTCCTTCTCACAGCCTTTTCTGGTTTACCCTTTCTGCCTCATCTGTCTCCATTTTCTTTTCTTTTTTCTTTTTCTTATTCCAGTTTATGGCTCATTGATTTCATAAGTTGCACCTAGACCTCAGGTTCAGCCTCAGGGCGTAGACATCTAGAAAGCTGAAATAGGGATGTCGGCATGAAAAGAAAGTGCCGATGACTTGGCTTTATCTGCCAGTCCACAAATAACTTGATCAACAGAGTTTCTGGCCATGAAATCTGAGTGCCATTTTAAAAATAACAAATTTCATTCATTCCCAATTTACTTTTGCTTCTGTGGATAGAAATTAGAATACAAGGTGGTGCTGGCAAAGCAGTATATAGAGCAAAAAATATCATAATGACCTCACAAGTTTTTTCTCTTGGGATCTTACAGCTAACTAATTCAACCCTTAAGATGTTGATTAACGTCTCTATGGCTGGAGACAGAGCTGACTTATTCAGGACATAATCCCAGAAAGCATCAGTCTTTTGTGATGTTCTTGCTGCAGCTTAAAGCTATTCTTCCTTAGTGACATCCCTATGACACACTTCCTGTCTTCCTGAATTTAATGGATGTCCTAGTCAGTTGGAAAGTGTCTCTGGGAAATAAAGTTTGCCTTTTGTGCTAGCAGACTGATGTGAGCCATGCACTTCCAAACATCATGTTTGAAGCATATGCTGCACAACAGATCTTAACTATCAGGAGTAAGTGAGCAGTGCAAGTTACATGAAGGGATTTATAGCTTTTAGATGTGAATTATAAGAAGCTATTCTTATTTCAGAGAGACACACGTTTTATTAGATATTTTTTAATCCCTAGGCATCACACAAGAAATTTCACAGCTGAATGTTTTATTTCCTGATACCTACTGCATAATGACATGACAAAGTTCTTTTCAGAGTATCCTTCCTTTTATGACTATGACTTTCCCCTCCTTTCATGTTATGCGTTCTTGCTATACTTACAAGTACAGTGACAATCTGTTCCTCTCTTCTATAGGCAGAGAATATTCCTATTGGCTTCACTGGTAAGCTTGTCTGAGCCCCTCCTGATCAGCTCTGAGCCCCATCCTGTGGGCAGACCTCTAGCCCTTTCAAAGGTTTGCTTTCATTGCCCCCAGGGAATCTGGCTCTTTACCACAGAATTACACAGGCAGAACCACAGGCTATTATTGATGGGAACAATTTCCTCCCACATCCTGAATTCTAGGGCCAGCTGTCTTCTAAGAAGTGTGTCCCTCAAAGTAACAGAACCAGAATTTTATCCAGAATACTTTTAATGCAGTAGGTATTACTGAAACTTGTATAACTCCCTTCCCTCTCTTCAATTCACAGCTACCTCATCCCTGAACTCCCAGCTTCAACAGCTTCAGCATCTTCAGCAGCTCCAGCATCAACAGCAGCAGCAGCAGCAGCAAAGCCAGCAGCAGCAAGCTCAGCAGGCACAGACTCCACAGCCAGCCCAGCAGACCCAGCAATCACAGCCACAGCCATCAGCACCACCACAGCAGAACCAAACACAGCCCCAGAGCCAGAGCCAGCCACCTCTACCCTCACAGTCCTCCAGCTCCCCTCAGAAACCCAGCCAGTCACCAGGGCATGGCCTTCCATCTCCTCTTACTTCACCAAATCCATTGCAGGTAGGACACTACATACAAATCCCTAAAGGTCTAAAAACAGCATGTACAGTCTCTCTTACTGCAAGGGGAAACAAAGGCTACACCTTCTGACCACACAGGCTGAGAAATTCCAACTTGTGCTACTCAATCCTTACGGGCACTTGGCTTAGAACAGCTAAAAAGGCTTGATGAACCAGAAAAAACACCTAATGATGGTTCTAGGATGCTGCTTCCTGAAGAGTAAATATCTTTTGCTTTTAAAGCCTCATGTCATAAAATTCATAGAAAACTCTTTCATTTTTTTCCACAGACTCATTGTATAACATTCACAAAAGACATTTGCCCAGCATTCACCCTTTATGATAACTTAAGAGGGTTCCTACTGGTTCATTAGGAGATGATCCTGACTATCAGCTTCTGCTAATGGACATGTGCATAAGGGTGGATGTGTTACCTCTCCTCTTGAAATCACAGTCCTAAATCTTATCCTGCTAATAATCAGATACTTCTGTTAAGGTTCTTAGTATATGTTCCAAAGCTAAGGATGCCAGCTGATGCCATTCATCAATGAATGCTCACTCCAATGACATGGCTCTTTTTTAATGGATCAGCAGCTACCACATCCATACTGATGCTCAGCTCTGCCCCTCTGAGAAGTCCTGGGCAGAAACAGGAGAGCTCTGGTCCAGTGGTCCTATGTTCTTAGATCTGGGTATTCTTGCCCTATATGTGTCTTCCCACATTTACACTGTGCAAGAACAGCTTTGACTGTACCCATAAGTAGTGTGATTCTGAGCACCAGGGTAGTCTGTGAAGTGAACGGAGTCTTATTCACTAGGCAGTGAAACTGCACTTAGAAGCCAGAAAAGTCTCTATCAACGTTAGTCTTTAAACTTTGAGACACCACTTAAAATATTTTATCCACATTCATGGATTTGGATCCATTTCCTGCAGAAATAAAACTGCATTAGCTTAATAATTAAACAATCCTTTTTTAGACAATTAAGGGAATTGGTTTACAAGAAGCTTTTCTTGCATGTGGCCAGTTAAACCTGCATCAATCTGAACTTCAACTAAATTGCATGAAATCTGATTTTTTTTTAATGGTTTAGATAATAGACTTAAAAGTCTGCAAGAGATGTGTCCTTGCTTGCTGAACTTTTTCTTAGAGTAGAGAATAATGCTTCTAAACCTTCTTCCCTGTATTGTCTTAAGGACTGCATTTGCATCACTTAATACCCCATCTATCATGTTAGTCAGTGCTTTGGGGCTTTTTATATGCAGATTATTGACATTCAGAGACACAGATATTTTCAGGGGATCTTATGTTACGTTTTATTGTCTTAGTACAGCTGTAATGTATGCACACTAACTGTACACGTGATATTTTGCTAAAACTGCCTGCTAAATAGTGTGTTTCAAAACTCATTAAGTTCTACAAACAAAGCAAATGCACACATAAATTAGAGTTGGAGTAGGGAAGAAGTTGGATTATCTCAGAAAACATACCTTGAGAAGGTTGTACTAAATGAATCTGAAGTCTTAGGTCTTATATAGCCTTTGGTCCCAATGTAAATCTCAGATGAATGTTAGTCTTTTCAGTCCCATCTCTGATGTACAGGTGCTTTCAACTGTTAGCTTCCCTGAGTTATCTCTCATTTTCATAAGTACAATAAAAGTAAGTAAAAGCTTTCCTGTTAGATGCCAATGACAATACTACATAGGTACTCTTTAGCCTTTAGCATCCTTACGCTCACAACTACCCGTCTGAGGGCAGTCTGGATGTGGCAGACAACAGAAGTAAAAGAAAGGAACCAAGTACTCTGCGGTCTTTTTAGTTCAAATACTATCCCTTGAATGGTTTAGGAATTGGGATTAAATTTAATGAAATACACCAGTGTGAGAGATCTGGCATTTCCCTTGGACTGAGCTCAGCTAGTGCTGCCAAGCCAGTTGCATGTCTGGTTTACTTTCAGAACAGTAATGAAGGAATTAGAAGTCATTAGGTGTTAGTTCTGGCTCAGCATTAAAAACTTGCTAATAAATAAGTAGTTTTAATGGTCTTTCCTCTCTGAACCTCACCATTTAAATAGCCATGAAATCCCAAAGTTTGTTCACAGATGCAAATACGCTGTGTACTGACAATCACAAGAGAAGCCAGAACTGAGCATGCTACTTCAGCCCTCACCTTAAGTAATGTGTGTAGGGTCATTACTTTGGCCTTCTAGACATCTCTGCAGCATTTCTACAGCAAGTTCAATACTGCTTAAGCTTCCTTAGAAGCAATTAAAACTTGAAGCATGCTCTGTCTTATTACCAGGAATTCTGAGACACTTTTATATGCAAACAAGTGGTATTCAGAAATATTTCCAGAGGAACTGATGTTTTACTTTGTGTATGGTTGTTTGGGTACTTTTCTAAATCAGAGCAATGATAACATCTCCTCCATGAAATTTGTCTTTCCATTCTAAATCCTGCAGAAAAAGGCTGCCTTACCCTTGTACATCCATCTTGAGGATTGGATCTGAAATTATTTTCTTTCACACAGGCGGCTTAAAAAAAAAAAAAAACAAAACAAAAGGAGGGAGCACATGTTTGGCAGCAGTTCCTCATAATAGCTGCTTACAATGTGGGGGTTTTTTTCTGTTTAATGCTCCAACTTAAAAATCAACCTGACGAAAGTCAGAGGTAGTATGTCCTCTAGGGTAATGTTCTTTATGAACTAGAGTGAAATGGATTTTCTTTGAAGAATATTAAGGGAATAAAGAACAACTAAGTTAAAGTTTGACAGCTAAAATTTAATTTCTGAATTCTTGACTTTTTTCATGTGGGCTTTATCCTCTTACATTATTCAGGATCTGTCTGAAAGATATTAGTTTTAAAAAATGCAACCTCAAAAAATTGTCATGGAAAGTCAGTAATTCAGGAGGATGATTGTGTTTGTTTCAAAAAACTGAAGGATAACAGCAATTACATCTCAAAATGTACAGATGCTGTCATGTCCTTCAGATGGTAAATTAAATGAAAGTGACTTACTTAGGTATACCTGCGTGAGGTACTTTGCTAGCTGATCAGAAATGAATTATGCTGGTGCAGTGTGTACCAACTAAAAGTCTCAGAATTATTCCTGTCAGATTATTCTGTAATACTGTGCTCTAATTTTATCACTATTCTTTATATGATTCAGTGGGCTGGATTGTAGTTACAAAATTATTTTTATGGGATATTTTAATGATTGCATAGAAATATGTAAAACCCCCCTTTAAGTTCCAGGATATTATTTTTTTGCTAACATTAATGAAGATGCTCCAGATTTACACTGGTAAAAGCCAAACACTGCAGGACCAGGGTCATTGTTGGTTTGCAAGAAACAACAACCAGACAAGAATTTTTAAAAGCTGAGATCTCTTTCAGGAAGTGGTGGGTTAGGCAGATGAGAGAAGACTCTCATCCTTCCTTTCTAAAATGGTGAAATTCATCATAAAGATAATCATAGTTTGATGTTTATTTTCATTGTGTTAATTGATTGAGACAAAGGAATCCAGAGGCAAAAGACATGGTGTAAGTTGAGGACTTCAAAACCTTTACTTCTGGGAAAATGTACTTCTCCAATTATGCTTATCCTGTGAATGTTTAGTGTTATTACATGCAAAACATATGGGTTCTTGAATGGTCAGCATGTTGCAACTTCAAAGGATACATATCTCTGTAAGATAGAACATCTTACAGAGATTCCATGCAATTAAAATTTTGGAGCCATAAGAACTTGATTATACGTAGTATCAAATCAGATGAGCAGAGTATTAAGTAACTAATTATTCTGCTTGGCCACAAAAATACGGCACTTTCTACCAGCAAAATATATTTAGGTGGCTGCAAAAAATTGGTTAGCTTATGGTGCTGACTCTCACTGTATATTTTAGAGATATGGACAAGATTATTGTACACATAGCCAGACCTGCAAAGGGAGTGCTACACTATAGGAATAGACAAATTCTCAATCATTTCTACTGTTCTGTTTGTGTGTGAATAGGAACAGACAAGCAGGAAATTCCCCAGAGATTTTCTTACTGTAAAATTATTCTGACCATTTTCAGAACTCTTTCCTGAAGAGTCTCTTTTGTCACAGAAGTCTACCTACAAAAACTGCAGCTGATGGAAGATGATGACTGAGAAAAAAATAACAATAAAAATAAGGAAGAAGAGAAGTGAGGAGATGACAACAGCACAAAAATCTTCCAAGTAATAGCAAACTTTAGGATACCAAAACCAGAACCTCCTTCAGATTAAATTTTCATAGTAATCTTAAATAATGTATTTGGAAACTCAACGCTTTTATAACAAAGGAACAAAGAAAAGCAGAAAGGCTGAAATACTCAGCTGCAAATGAGGGAGGATATATATACAAATGTCTGAGGCTCCAATAGTCACACAAAACAAACTTCCCCTTCCCTTTCTGCCCTCATTCACTGGTTAGCTTCTCATTAAGGCAAAATCAGATTTGAAGAAATCTCAATATTTTCTGAGACTTTGACATAGTTACATATCTTTAAGATACAGAAGTCACAACCAAGTTCTCTGTCAGCTTGATAAAGGCCAGTTTTTCAAGGATTATTCTTGTGGTCTGTCTTTATGATTGTGTTCACATCCGAGACTTGTTATATCTTTCTCATGTTTATTTAATCCTGAGATTAAGAAAATTTGATTGAGATTATGACACCAGTAATCCCACTGAGTCTGGTGGGTTGCTTTGTTTTGCTAAAATTATCTGACTTCTTCTGCATAAGATACTGTGCAATGTATCAATGTATGACTGATTAAATCTGTTCCCAAGTTGCTAAGTAATCAATTTGACAAAGAAATCTTTTATAAAGGGTGAATAAATGCCGTGCTTCGGATTCATTGTCAAAATCTTCTAATTTTTGGTATCAATAGGGAGTGAGATAACCCACATCACAAGGTGATAGGTGATATAGACAAGAAGGCATTTATTTGAGAAGGTTCATGCCCATCACCTGAGA